CTAGGGGCTGGAAATTTAGCTCAGCGGCACAGCGCCTGCCTGGCAAGCGCAAGGTCGTGAGTTTGATTCCCCGTACCGGAGAAAAACCAAAAAAAAAAAAAAAAAAAAAAAAAGAAAAACAACAAGAGAGAAGTCATCAAAGGGATTCCCATGCTCAGATTTTTAATTTTTTATTTTTTTGGTACAGGGAATCAAACTCATGACCTCAGGTTTACCAGGCAAGTGCTTATGCCACTGAGCTATATCCCAGGCCCTCTGCCCAGATTTCTATTTCTTTTTTTACCGGGAATTGAACTCAGGACCTTGCACTTGCCAGGCAGGTGCTTATGCTACTGAGCTATATCCCCGGGGCTGCCTAGATTTCTGCATTTTCTTTCGTATTCCCCTCTTTTGTTTAAAAACCTAATAAATATGGGCCACCTGGAGAAGTTCTTAGTCTAAAACCTCATAAGGTCCATTTCTTTTTTCTTTCTTTCTTTTTTTTTTTGGTCTTTTTGAGACAGGGTCTCGCTGTGCAGTTCAGGCTGGCCCTGAGCCCACTTTGTAGCCCAGGCTGGTCTCGAACTTGCAATGATCCTCCTGCCTCAGCCTCTTGAGTGCTGGGATTACAGGTGTGAGCCACCACACCCGGTTTACAGAGGGTTTTTAAGGTGATGGAACAGGGGTGAGTCTTTGGGGACCAGAGGGCTGAACTGGCATGCCCATGGTGCAGTGGGTGAGGAAGAGGATGTGGACAGAAGAGGAACAACAGAGACAGCGTCCTGTGTCTCATCCCCTGTCTGTTAGTATCCTCACCGTGTCAGTGGCTACCAATAGGACACAGGCATCCCGCATATCCTATGAGGCCAGGCCAATGGCCAGTTCCCCATGCTGGGAAGAACCCACACCTAGCACCAGGATTTCCAGACAATGTGGAGCAAGAGCCTTGAGAGGAGACGGGAGACTTCTGACTCAGCACAGCTGTGTGTGGTGCAGAAGGAGGTCGAGTGAGTGCAATCTTGGGATGAGTCAGCTCCCAAAGGCCTCTCAGGCTTTGACACCAGCTTTTTTTTTGGAATCGGGAATCGAACTCAGGACCTTGTGCTTGCCAGGCAGGTGCTTATGCCACTAAGCTATATGCCCGGCCCTAGGCTCTGATACCAGAGGGCAGGTAGATTTAAGATCTGGAGACCAGTTGAAGCAGAAGGATTTATTAGCAGAGTAAGTACAACAGTTTGTGGAGCAGGGGAGCTGAGAGGCAGGGGAGTGGTTTTTAAGCCTAGGGCAGGAGACAGAGCCTGAGCCTGGACTGGAATGAGGAAGTCTGCTAGCTTTAAACATAGACTAGAGGTGAAGCTGCTGGGAGAGGGGCTTTAATCCAACAAGTGCTACTATGCCGGGTTTCATAGCGTTTTTTTTGTTGTTGTTTTTGTCTGTGTAACCTGGCTGGCCTTGAGCTCATAAAGATCCTTCTGCCTCAGCCTCCTGAGAGCTGGCATTGTAAACCTGTGCTCCCACTGCAGTGGCAAGCAGAAACACCAGAACGACACCCAGGATTTGGAGGCAGATTTATTTAATTAATGTCTTTTTGAGACAGGGTCTTGCTATGCAGTTCAGGCTGGGCTTGAGCTCACTTTATAGCCCAGGCTGGTCTTGAACTTGCAAGGATCCTCCTGCCTCAGCTTCCTGAGTGCTGGGATTACAGGCACACACCATCATGCTTGGCTTGGGGCAGATTTACTTATGTTGATGGGCACTGATTGACATCATTCCCAGAATAGCAGGTCCCGATAGCTGGTGGTTTGGGGCTTATATGGGATAAGGCAGTAGGAAGTATAGGGGCAGAATGGCCTGTCAATTGGGGATTGGTTTATACAATGTGCGTCACAGTGACCAGCCATTTCTAAGACACAGGTGCAACTGGAACTGGAACAGAAACTATTACTTGAGCAACTAAGAAACTGCTGTGCAAAAAAAAAAAAAAAAAAAAAAGAAAAACTAAAGTATACTGGCTGGGGGGCCACTTTGTGTTATACCACAATGGGGAAAACATCCCTATTTCTCAAGCAGTTGTATTTTTTTTTTTCTTTGTCTTTTTGAGACAGGGTCTCGCTATGCAGTTCAGGCCGGCCTTGAGCTCACTTTGTAGCCCAGGCTGGTCTCGAACTCGAAACGATCCTCCTGCCTCAGCCTCCCGAGTGCTGGGATTACAGGCGTGCGCCACCACGCCCAGCCAAGCAGTTGTATTTTACCATAGAGGAGCATACAGCATATTCTGACTCAAAGCATGAAGTCATCACGATGAGTAATGCTATTTTTGTATAGTGCAATCAGTAATGGACTAGAAAATGTAGCCTCCTCCTTGGCTCCTTGCATGGTTTCTGTGCCCACTGAGCCCAGGAGCCTCTGGATTCTGTCCCAACAACAAAGAGCTGCAGGTAGTCCTTGGAGAGGTGCAGAGGCCTGGGGCCATTTTAATTCTGACAAAGTGAAGCCAGGTGAAGTGGCCCATGCCTGTAATCCCTGTACTTGGGAGGCTGAGACAGAAGGATGGCTCTAAGTTTGAGACCAGTTTGGGTTACATAGTGAGTTCAAGGCCAGCCTGTTTTTATTTTTTGTTTTTCTTCTGGTACCAAAAATTGAACTCACGACCTTGCGCTTGCCAGGCAGGCGCTTTGCCACTGAGCTAAATCCCCAGCCCCTTCAAGGCCAGTCTGAACTGCACAGTAAAACCCTACTCAAAAAGCCAAAAAAATCAAAGAATCCTTTGCCAAATCTGAGGATTTACTGTTGTTTTCCTGTAAGACTTCAGAGGTGCGTACCCTCATACAAAATGGTCTCGGTAAATACAGAGGTCTAAAAGAAAACTCTGACCCGCAATCTGCATGGATCAGTCCAGGACAGATCACACCCGGGGGCAGTCAGCCCCCAAACGGACCATACACACTGGGTGAGTAACTGCCAGCTTTCCTTTCTGTCTCCAACCCAACCACTGAAAGCCATGGGAAGCCCGGCCCCCACCAACCTCGACTCCCTTGGGTGATGGTTCGTCTGAGCCTCCCTCCTCTACCCTGACACCTTCCATTTCACTGCCCACCCTGGAACCCCTTCAGAATGCAAAAGGCAGTGGCCATGGTGCCCTTGCAGTGGTAGTCCTGAATTGACAGTGGTGGGTCTCATGTTTTTGCCTGTCCACACCAGGGTCAGTACTGGCCCCTGTGTGCAGCCTGGTGGTCATCCTGGGCTGTGAGGTAAGGGTCCAGCCTCAACCTTGTTCCTGGGGATGGCCAGCTGTCCTGGCATCATTTGAAGACTATTCTTTCTTCACCGGGTTTCCTTGGCAGTCATGCTGAAATTTCCTGACAGAAAATGATTACTCTGTGAATTTTTTTTTTTTTTTTGGTCTTTTTGAGACAGGGTTTCCCTATGCAGTTTAGGCTGAACTTGAGCTCACTTTGTAGCCCAGGCTGGCCTCAAACTCCCAACGATCCTCCTGCCTCAGCCTCCCAAGTGCTGAGATTACAGGCATGCACCACCACGCCCGGCTTACTCTGTGAATTTTCAAGAGTTGTAAACTTATTAAGACCTGAGGGTGACAAAAGAAAATGCTGGCCGAGCTGGGAGCCGTGCCAGGGCCCAGCCACCACCCCCTGGGGTGATTGCCCTCTGACCGGCCAGCCCTACCTCCTCCTCGGCCACTCAGTGAGGCTGGAAGGGGAACCTGGCTCGAGGTCTCCCCTGTGGCCCGGAAGCCTGGGGTTCCTCCCGACCCACCCTGGGCCAAGCCACCTTACAAAACTGGACTGGGTGCTCTCTGCCTCCAGGGTTTGGGGACCTGAGGAAGGGAGGTGGGTGGAGAAAGTGCCCTGGCATGTGTGATTCCTCCTGTGCTCCCTACAGGAGCTGTTTCTGGAATGCAGAGCCCACGCTGCTTTTGGAATGAGGCTGTGGTGGCGGGAAGCAGCTCTCCCGCAAGCTCATAGCCCGAGTTGGGCTTCTGACCTGTTCACCCTCCATCCATCCCAGCCCTGGCTGTCTTGCCAACTCCTGCTGCCTGCCCACCCCTGCAAGTTCATGAGACCCTGTGGCCATCCTGAACCAGGGCAGCTTGGGTTAGTTGCCAAGTGGACCTGGGCTGGATTGACCGGAAATGCAGGGGTGGAGGGGCAGCCCTTGCTGGACTTGGATCATAAGACCAACTCTTACACAGTTGAGCACCAAGTGGGTACTTGATGAGGTGAGAGATAACACCATAATATTTCTTACCTGTAAATAATAACTACTGCAGTTATAATTTTGGCTTAAGGTATATATATGTATATATTTCTTAATTTTTTGGTGGTGCTGGGGATGGAACCCGGGCCTTAGCCATGCTGGGCAAGTGCTCTACACCGAACCACACCCCTGAAGTGTGTGGAGCCTGGGATTGAACCTAGGGCTTCAGGACTGAGCTACCCACCCCCAAGGCCTTGAGAGGGGCTCTTGCTAAGTTGTCTAGGCTAGGCTTGAATTCTCCACCCTGCTGCTTCAGTCTCCCAGACTGCTGGGTTACAGGCATGCAGCACTTCAACCAGTGCATAAAGTATTCATATATAAGTAACAGAAGGTTGAGATTTGCTTCCAAACTCCCAGGGTGGGGTGAGAAGTACTCTATGGTTCCAGGGTCTCCCGGGCCAGGCAACGCTGGGTAGATGTTGGCCAGCTGCACCACAGCTCCACAGCTGGCAACTGATTCAAATGCACCTCCTGCAGCTGGGTGAGGGGGTCCAGAGACCAGCCTGCCCCGGGGACACACAGAGCTTGCCGGGAGGGGTTGCACGATGGACCTAGTCCTCTCTATACCTTGCCCCGACTCCTTCTCTGCCCTCTGCACTGAGGAAGCCACCTGCCATTCCTTTGTCCACAGGCTGTATAAGGTATGACCACAGCTCCTTCCCTAGTCCTCTCTGGGGGTGTGGGGGTCCCCACTGTCTGTGCACCACGAGGCAACCAGTGGTATGGAGGAACAGACTTGGAGCAGGTCACCTGGGTCACTGCTTTATTGGACCCATGCAGAGCTGCAGGCCAACACCTGTGGGGCTGATGCAGAGCACAGTGCCCAAGTCCACATGGTAGCCAAGCCTGTTTAGGGGAAAGAGGCTGTTTTGGTGGCAGTTTTTGGCTGCTCGGGGCTCTTGTGGGGTGACCACCGGCCGTGCTGGAAGGAGAATTCTGGAGGACACACCACAGCCCACTGCTACTTGTGGCCCTATTTCCCTAGGGAGCCTTGCAGAGGATGCTGTGGGCATCTGAGGGCCTTGGGCACCAGCTGAGTGGACAGCAACAAGCTGTGGGCACTGAGGTTTTGTCCGGCACAGCAAATCATTAAAGCATCTGGGGCTGTACCTGCAGACGGGTGTGTGGGGACGCTAAGTCCTGGCACTGGCTGGTGATCTGTTATCACCAGGAACAGGCTGGGGAAGGGGCTACCAGTGAGGGTGCTAAAGCTGTGGTCCCTCTCGTGAGAGTAAAGTGCGCATGCTCACGAGTGTGGCAAGTGGGCAGCTGTAGGGTCCACACCCCACCCTGCTGTCCAGGCCCTCCCCTCAGGGCAGGCTGCAGGAAGATGGTGCTTCTGTCTGCAGCAAACCTTGGCCAGAGCACAACACAGGTCATCTGGCCACTCCCTTCTTCACAGTGAATACAGGGCAGAGGGAATGGAGGTGGGGAGGGTGGGGAGCCACCCTGAGGGCCGCTCTTGCCCTCTTCCTGAGTGAACGGGCAGTGGGGAGGGGCAAGGCCGGGCAGACGCCCAGCAGGAAGCACAGGAGTGGGCAGGAGCTGGGGAAGGGCCCAGGCCAGGAAGGAGGGGAGGCTGCACCCTCCCACCGATCTTGAGCCTGGTACTGGTGGCCTCAGGTGGGCACCCTGATGCCAAAGTGTTTCCGCAGCTGCTCCAGGAACACAAAGGTGAGCACGGTATGTGGGATCAGACGAATGCCAGCAGGAAAGAGGCCCTGGGGAAAGAACCAGAGAGGGAGATGTGAAGGGCCGAGGAGGGCACAGTCTGCCACCCCTGACCCCAGCCGCTGGCTGCCCGACCATACCTTGTAAAAGGCCAGTGGTCCCAGCTTAGCTGTCTCCACAGCACAGTGAAAAACCCCCTGAAGGAGACAAAATGAAGAGATGCAGGAAACGGCTTCTCACTCAGGGGGACAGGTAGACCCCCCTCCTCTGGTACCGACTGGGTACGGTGGCCCTGAGGGGCCCTGGGGGCGCTGGGTGTGAGCAGGAACCCTGAGGACATTAACAGGGGACCCCAGAGCTGAGGGCTAGCCCACCAGTAGATAGCCAACTAGGCCCTTGATGGTGCACCCACAGGGCCGGGAGGCTGAGAACATAACTGTGACAGCCAGTGATAAGGGAGGGTCAGGGAGAAGAGTAAGGAATGGTCAGTCGCAGGCACTGGGGGCACATGCGTGGTAACTGGGGGGAGCCCAAGGCCACGTAGTGCAGGGGCTGCATTCCTCTGTCCAGGTGATTTTCACTGAGCACCTCTGTCAATATGCAAGGGAAATCAGGTTTGTTTATTTAATTTTTTTTTTTTTTTTCCCCCGGTACCGGGAATCGAACTCACGACCTTGAGCTTGCCAAGCAGGCACTGTGCCGCTGAGCTAAATCCCCAGCCTCTATATTTGTTTTTTTGACACAGGCCCTCATTATGTAGTTCAGGCTGGCTTTGAACTCACTATGTAGTCCAAGCTAGCCTCCAACTCATGTTGATCTTCCTGCTTCAGCCTTCCAAGTTCTAGGATTACAGCCATGTGCTACCATACCAGGCAGGAAATGGGGCTTAAAGCAAGGGATGGGCCTGGGAAAGGCACAACCCTCCCCAGCCAAGAGCTCTCCAGAGGAACACAACTGGAAGGGAAGAGTGTAATGGGGGACAGCTCAACGCTTGTGTCTCCACAGATCCATGGGGACTGCCCTTGTCCCCAGGATAACCACGCAAGGGCTCCAGGTGAGGACTCGACAGCTTACCTGGTATTCGCCCTTGGAGTTCATCAAGCGGGTCTTCATCACATCCAGGGGCTGGCACAGGAACGTGGCACAGCCGCCCTGAGGAGGGGCCTTGTCACAGAGCACTGCAGCCCCTTCCCAGCACCCCCACCCCAGCAGGCCAGCCCAAACAGCCAGGGCTCACAGCCCCACCCCTACTCCTCAGAGGTGTCCTGAGTGCGCAGGCCTGGGCCTTGGGGAGAAGGGATACCAGGAAGTGGTATAGCCTGAGTGGACACAGTGTCCTCTGTGGCCCCCAAGGGGTGTTACCAGACTTCTGCCAGCCTCCTACTTCCTCATACCCGCACCTCACCCCAGGTGCCCTTGGCCCCCAAGGCCAAGCACTCACTGCAATGAAGCTGGCGACAAAGTGTGTGAAGATGTTGTCAGACAGGTACCCAGTGGTGAGGACCAGCTGCTTGGCCTGATCGTAACATGACAACTGCAGGTAGACAGGAATAGCTCAGGGAAGCAGGCAGAGGCTCACAATGATACCATCCAGCATCTGCCTTCTATCACTGCCATACCTGCATTTGGGCAAGTCCAGAGGCCCAGACAAGGGGCAGGACTTGGTCAAGGTCAGACCCATGCTGTGGCCTTGACCCACTTGTGCCTACCCAAGGGACAGCAGGTGGCTCCCACACGCACCTTACCCTTGGAGTTCTGCCCTGTGCAGAAGCCCTACCTGGCCCACAGTGACAAGGGCCCCGCGGCTGGATGCCATGGTTGCACCAGAGAATAACCTCCTCAGGCCCTCTGCAAGAAGAAAGGGGAAGTCGGACCCCCAGCCCAGCCCCTTTGCCGGGAAAGGAGGGCTCTCACACAAAGTGCCTATTCCTCTCACCTTCACGGGCCACGCGGTACAGGCCATCCAGGGCATGGGCATAGCTGCCAGAGACACAGAATGGGCCACGTGAGGCTCACCCTGTCCACCAGTCCCCAGGGCTCCACCCCCATCACAGGCCATGTGCTTCTGCAGAAGCAACACAGGGACAGTGGCCTCCAGGGCCCACAGACCCCTCCCTGGTCACACACTTGGGTTTGTGGCCCCCCCCAGGGGGCTGCCAGCTCAGGCTGGTCCTCTCTGCAGGCAAAACCTAGGCCACCCTATCCTCATAGAGCCCCAGGCTTGGCGAGGTGCTGCCCTCCAGGAAGGAAAGTCTGAGGGAGCCACAGGAAGAAACCAGAAACTGCCTGCCCCAGGGAGAAGGTGAGCTGGCTTAGGAATAGTCAACAAGAACACCACCATAGCAGGGTGTGGCTGCCGTCACTGCCCTGCTGGCACCCTGGCACTGGGCAGGGTGTTCCTCAGTCTTGGTGTGGGCATGTTGGCCTCATGTGTCCCACTCAGTCTCTGAGGCTCCCTCAACACACACTCAAACCCACATCAATACAGGCCCAGGACTGTCCCTAGGTTCCAACAGTTTCCAGTCCTCAACCTGTCCTGGGAGACTCCAGGGAGACACCCTAATGACCCTAGGGTAGCCACTCATAGCATTAGTTCCTGAAAATCACCAGCCTCCCCACCCCTATTCCTCCAGTGGCAACCTGGTCTGTTGGTGTCCTGGTCACATCAAAGTAGAGCCACTTGGGGGTCCCTCTTGCCCAACCCCCAGCCCAGCCTGCTGCTCACTTGCGCCGCTGATTCATAGGCAGCTTCATGTCATTCTGCATCCTGAAACAGAAGGGTGTCTGCTGGACACATGCTATTCACAGACCCGAGGGGAGTGGGGAGGCTCACCAAGTCGGCCTGTTTGAAGACAGACATGCTGCAGGCCCATCACCCCCTGCTCTGTCTGCAGCTGAGAAAGCCTCTGGCCTTGGGGGTTAGGGGTACACACAAACCTGACATTAACCAAGTCTGCAGGGGTCCCCACGAAGCCTCCAGTTAAACCTGTGGTGACAAAAGTGCCAGGCCCAAATGACTCCCGATGCCCAGCGCCTGACCCACCCTCCCTCCTGCCCAGAGCTTACCGCTGATGCCTCCTATCAGCACCTTGCTGTAGAAGGGGACAGGCCCAGGGCTGCCCTTGGTCAAGCGGTCCCGCACAGTCTCATAGATAGCGAACCGTGTCAGGGAATAGGTCATCTGGGGAGAAGGGACCTGACTCAGGGACTGGCATGCCCCACCCAGGCTCACAGTACCATCACTAATCAATCACCTGTGCAACAGGGGCACATGGAGGGGCTGCCCAAGGCCATGTGGCCAGCAAGCAGCTGAGCCAACTCCCAAACCCCAGGCTGCCTGGTTCCCTTTCTCCCACCTCTCCCAGCCTCAGTTTCTCCATCTGTAAGTGGAGGTTTAGAGCTGGCACTGTGGAAGCTGCCCCACACTTAGCCTGGGGTTCTCAGCTCTACAGGAAGGAAAAGGAAGAAGAAGCTTAACTCTTTGGGGCACCCACTGTAGGCTAGGGGCTGCCATCCCGAGCATGGGCTCTTGGAAGGCCCATTTTAAGGGAGGAAAAGGGAAGATCTCTGATGGAAGGGAGGTCCAGGGGAGAGGCCAGGGCTGGCGGCGCACCTGTCTGCACAGCGAGGCGCTCAGGCCATTGTAGAGAGCCAGGATACCGTCAGTGCGCACCACCCGCAGTGCCATGCCGGTCATGCGCAGCTTCACTTCCTGCTGTGTCTGCAGATGCACCTGTGGCACAGGGAAGGTTGCTTTTGTAGAGCTGGCCCCTGCCTCCCAGGCCCAGGTCAGCAGAGAGCAGTAGGTGCAGATGCTGCCTGGAGCCCCCATGTTTCTCTGCTGCGGCTTCCTCAGAACCCGCCGAATTGAGGTCCCACAACCACTATGGACTCAGGGCCACCTACAGATGGGGACACCGATATGGGGTGGTGGACAGGCTCCTCAGGGCCCCTGACTGGGGACTCTGTGTACAGCCTGGGATCTGTTCCCACTCTGGTTTTACAACAGTGATAATCCCTGCTCACTGCCCCACCCCCAACCTTCTTCCCTGGCAACCCATGGCTCTGTGCAGAAGAGGGGACAGGGAACAGCAGAGATCGCCGGCAGGCAGCCAGACTCAGGATCCCAGATCCAGCCCCCGCCCCCCCCGCAACAGTCCCAAGGAAGCTGTCCCCAGTTGAATGAGGTCCCCTACATGCAGTCCCCCTCAAGCTGCCCAGGGGAGACACGGCCTGTGACAGTAGAGATGGGCAGGGACAGAGAAGGCCATCTTCCCATTGTGTGAGCTGGGCAGGACAGAAATGTGGGGCCCCAGGCCAGAGTGGCCACATGGGCAGCAGCTCCTGTTCATGTGAGGAGTAACCATGAGGACTAAGTCAGGACATGAGGCCACTAGATCAAGGAGCTTCAAAACAAGTTTTTAATGGGTCATCTTCTGAGGCCCTGGTGAGTAGCCCTTACAGAAAATCCCTGGCCAGTCTTCGCTGAGGCTGGGCACTGCCACTGTCTACCCAACAGGGTGGACACCCTGGGTGGCCACCTTCCCTGACCGCTGCTCAAGCAGTGTTCCGCAAGACAATATGGGGGAGCAGTGACACCAAAAGGGGTCTCAGATTACAGGGTGTGGATACCCTGAGGGCCCGGCGGAGGCTCCAGGGTCCATGCTCAACTCAGAGACAACAGCTGGCAATGAGGCCAGAAGAGTTTATTAAAACAGCCTGGAGGGGACGGCTGCCCTTTCCCCAGATCCAGCCACACCATCCTGTTCACTGACTCCAGTTCTCTGGTGGCAGAGCCTCCTGGCTCCTCAGCTGCACCTGAGCAGGCCTCTCCCTGGAGAGGCAGGGTCCCGTCCCCCACCTGTACTTGGTGGCCAGTGTTTTTACTAATTAGAAAAGCCACCCCTTTAAAAACTAGAGATCCCAGGACAAAGGGTAGGTACCTCCCCAAAGCTGGCTCAACAGCTCAGGCCACATGTGCTAATCCTAGGCGGCTCTGGGTGGGGGTAAGGAAAGGGGTGTCTAGACCAGCGGAGCCCTGCCCACAGGCCACCCCATGCATGACCACAGGGCGCACCCCCCTAGCAGACTGGGTAAAGCCTAGGTCCTTTCTTCTTTGTTCTCTGTGGTGAGGCAGGGTCAGAAAACAATGTCCCTTGGCCCTTGGCTGGCCTTGGGAACAAGGAGAGCTCTGTTTTATTTTGTCCCATACATACTTTTCTCAAAGAAATGAAGTTTAAAATGCACCTATGCTTTCATGGGGCCATAGCATCTCACCAAGGCTGGGCTGCTGCCCACACCCCTCCTGACGTCCAGTTCCTGCTCCAGAGTTGGGGGGCGGGGTGTGTGTGTGTGGAGGCCAGGCCTTCATTTCCTCCCTGCTCCATAGCCTGTCCTGGGCATCCACCAGCATGCAGGAGGTCCCCAGGAACCAACAGCTGTGCAACCCCACAGACACGCCACCACTTATTAACCACGCAGAGAGGGCCGTGGACTATGGGAGGAGGGAGGAATGGCTCACAGGCCAAGTTCAGACAGTATTAGAGCGCAGAGCTGGGGCCGCATCTGCCAAGAGCCGGGAGCGGGACTGCCCACGCGGCTTGGCCGACACCTGCGGAGGTCACCTGCAGAACGAACCCGACTTCCCCCAACCCCGGGCCTCCCGGCGGGCGCCACAAGAGGCGCCGCAGGCGCAAGGCCCTCGCGACACAGCAGGACGACCTCGGTCCGGGCGGGCGTGGGCGTCACCGGCGCCTCCACCCCGCGGCCGCGGTAATCACCGGGTGCGCATCCGGGCGCGGCGCAGCAGCGTCCCGCCGGCGCCAGGCCCAGTCCTGGTCCTGGCCCGGCCTCACCTTGAGCAGGTCCAGTGGGTGCGTGCAGCAGGCGGCCCCGCAGGAGGCCAGCCCCCCGAAGTACCAGCGTGACACGCGCGCCTCGGCTGCCATGGCCCCAGGAACAGACGCTGACTCGCTTCACCCCCTGCCCGAAGTAGGCTCCGGCCCGACTAGACCCGACTGGACTCAGACCCCAGTCGCCGGCTGCACCACCGGGCTCCCGGTTCAAAGTGCCACCGTGCGCCCGCGCCCCGCACAACCAATGCGCCCGCGCGGCCAGGGGGCGGGCCGGCGAGTCCACGCCCCCGACGGAGGGGCCGAAGAGACCACGCCCCCGAAGCTCAGCGCCGCGGGACCACGCCCCCGAGGGAGACAGGCCCGGTGTCTTAAAACAGCGTGGTGGGTTAGGGAGCTGGCCCCTGGCCCCTACCCCCAGAGCCGACCGAAGAGCCACCTCCACCCCCCAGATCCTGGCCTAGGACGCTCCTCCGGAGGTCACTGTAGGTCACCCACTCCCAGAAAGTCAGGCCTTTGCCAGCACCCTAGTCCCAGCTGCAGCAGGAAATTGTAGGCGACGCTGGCTCAGGGGTCATGCGTGTTATGCCAGCGGGGAACACATGCTGCAGTAGTAGACCTCCATCCCCAGCCCCCTGTTGGGCCCAGCTGTGGAGCGACGAAGCCTTCGTGGCTAGTTTGCCGATTAAATAAAAGCTAGGGGCAAAAGGCAGCTGGTTAAGCCTAGTTGCAACACGCACACACCCTGCGATGCCTGGCCAGCTGCAGCTTAGCTCTGCAGGTAGTGGAGCAGCCACCCCGGGGAGGCCAGGGGGTGGGCTCAGGCCTCTAGGAAGCACTAGAGTATGCCCAGCCCCAGGGGAACCTGACTCCAACTCTGCTCTCACTTCCTAGCTAGCAGCAAGGAAGCCAGGTGTGCTCCTGGTCCTGGCTGCACCTGCTGGGCAGCGATCTTTGTCTTACAGTTCTGGCTTGGGGGAAGGGCAGGGGAAAACAACTGCTGAGCACCTAGTAGGCCCACCTTGCCTCTGAGTACTCAGCAACTCCAGCTGTATAGGAGGCAGAAGACTTGGACATTCACTGTGTGTTTGCCTAATAGCACTTGGAGAGATGCAACTCTTATCTTCCAGAGCCCCACGTGGCTCTGGTCCTGAGGTGTTAACCAGAGGCTGGGCTGTGGGGTTGGTGCCTGAGCCCAGAGCCCCTGGGCTGTGGTCTTGTCTGGTGTCTCGGTGGAGTCATCCATGCAGATAGCTTCACCTGGAGACTGAGGAAGGTGTGAGGTAGACAGAGCCAGACACAGGAGAGCACACAGCGGTGAGAGAAACATGCCGAAGGAATTCTGGTGAGATTAGACTTCAGAGACCCGAGCAGACAGACCCAAGAGCCAGGATGCAGAACTGGCCAGAAGAGGAAACGCGGTACCTTCATGAAAATGTCTGAGCTGGGAAGAGGCATGGCCTCCTCAGCAAGGTCCACCCAGGCTTCCCCCTGACCTAGTCAGGGTACTTGGCTGTGCCTGTGGCTGTTTGTGATGTATTTGGTGTAAAACCAAAAGGTCCACCAAATCCAAGATTACAATATCATGACCCTGGAGGTGACAACTGGGTATGGTGACATGTTCCTATGATCCCAGCATGTAGGAGGCTGAGACAGGAGGACTGCCACAAGTTTGAGGCCAGCCTGAGCTACACACTGAGTTCAATGCCAGCCTCAACTACACAGCACAATATCCAAACCACAGGTCATTTAAAAAAAAAAAAAAAAAAAAGGCCAGCCTGAGCTACACACTGAGTTCAATGCCAGCCTCAACTACACAGCACAATATCCAAACCACAGGTCATTTAAAAAAAAAAAAAAAAGTAGAGGGGAGGTGACAGAAACCCTGGGGTAAAGTGGGACCACAATGTCCCCCAGTCAGTGTGACATCCCAGGGTGGAGTCGTCGAGGAACCTGCTGCTGGCAGGAAGACCCCATCCAAGGGGTCTGCAGCTCACAGAACAAGGACCAGAACGGGTGGGGATGGACAGGCCAGGGAGTGAGGAGCAAGAGCTGAGGTATAGTAGAGACCCAGTGGGAGAACAGGAAGCTTTCTACTAGCTGAGCCACACCCCCCAACCCACAACAAGGATCTGTGTAGCACCCCCAGACACCCAACTTGGTGTCAAGAGCGCCCACCGCCACCAACGAAACTGTAGGTGAGTGGTAGCTGCTGACTGCAGCTCCTACTGGCAAGGTGGAGTGAAGACAACCCCTTGACCCGAAAAGTCAGTCACCCCCACACCCAGAAGCTCCCTCACAAGTCCAGGAGGGCATGGAAAGCCCTTTTCTGGGCAGGAGGCCAATGTCCCACGATTACATGCTGGCCCTAACTGTCAAAGACCAAGGGGCTTGAGGCCAGGTTGGGCGGTCCTGATGGTAGGACGGGCCTGGCTGCGGCTGTGCCTGAGCTCCAGGTTCACTGATTTTTCTGCGATCTTCAGGGCGCCCTTCTGCTGAGGCAGAGGTGCTGCAATGTGCTGCTGGAGAATCATTAACTCAGAGAGCTGCATGGCCAGCAGGTTGGGGGTGCCAGCGGTCCTCAGGAAGGGCCCATGTAGGTGGGATGGCTTTGGCTGCCCTGGAATCTGCCAAATCCCCCAGGGAGTCCCGCCCAGTGGGCAGCACCCTGGAGACACAGCACCCCCTTGCGGCCTTTCAGAAGGAATGGGACAGTTCTTCAAACTGGAAAACTAAGGGCAGTTGCTGTGGCCCCCAGGACATGTCATGTTCCCCAAAGGGGGCGCTCAAGCACACTGCAGCCTCCACCTGGCCCACAGGGCCCTGAAAAGAGTCTGGGGGATGGGGCTCTGACGAAGACAGGGGGCTGGGGATATAGTTGGGCTGGGGACACAGCTCAGGCACAAGTGCTTGCCTGGCAACTGCAAGGTCCTGAGTTCGATTCTCTGTGCCAAACAAAAAAAAAAAAAAAAAAGGGAAGACAAGGCACCACCCCTGCCAGGCTGTGCGGGGGAAGCTCCACCAGAGGGGTCCTCAGAGCAAGGCCAGCTGAATGAAGGCATAGAGGGTCTTCACTCTGAGAGTGCCCATGTGGGGTTGACTCCACTCCAAGCCACTACTGGGCCCACATCCATGAGCCCCTGCTGCCACAATGCTCCGGGACCCTCTTGCAGCAGGTATTCTGGGGTCAGTGGCATAACTCCCAGCTGCCACAGCTGGGCTACACTGCTGACTAGTCCAGTGGTTCTGTCAGTGTCACACTGCATGTTACTTTAACAAAGCCAGTAGCCTGCTGGGCGTGGTGGCGCACGCTTGTAATCCCAGTATTAGAGAGGCTGAGGCAGGAGGATTGCTGTGAGTTTGAGGCCAGCCTGGGCTAGAAATAAGAGTTCAGGGCTAGCCTGCACTGCATAGTAAGACCTCATCTCAAAAAGCTAAATAAATGAATAAGTAAATAAATGGCAGTGCCCCCAGTAGGGGAAGAAAATGCCAATAGCCAGGTGTGGTGGCACATTCCAGTAATTCCAGTACCCTGGGAGACTGAAGCAGGAGGACTACAAGTTCAAGCCCACTCCAAGAAACTTAGTGAAACCCTATCTCAAAAAAAAAAAAAAAAAGTGCTGCTATCTAAACACAGAGAAATCTCCCATCCAAACTGCAGGTCCCCCACTTGGCTGCCTCATGCTAGATCATGCTGTGTCTTGAGGGCTACCACCAGTTGTGGGGTCCCAGAACAGGGCCTTGCACACAGGGAGCTGAAGAATATCTGCAGACCCTCAGGTGGCCTGATGGAGGAGTGGCAAGTGGTAAGACCAAGCCTGGGAAGGCCTAGGCCACACCACCACATGACAATGGACTCGCATACACCAGTCTCAACAGTGTATTTTCCTCAGCAGTGACGAGAGGAGCGGCACTGATTGGCGAGCTCTGGAGGGGCCTGAAGCTGTGGCTGCCCTCTCTCCCCATCAGAGCAGGGCCATCCTGCCCCTCCCAGACAGACTTGGCCACTAGCGCCAGTCACCCCAGCCCTCCAACTCCCTGTTTGGGAGCCTGGTGCTGGGAGTGGAGTGGGCCGATGTGGGTGGGCAGGGCCTCACCCAGGTCCCACGGACTCCAGTCCATAAGTCCTCAAATCAGGGGGCTACTCTAGAACCACAGTGCCGCCCACTGCTTCCAGGGCCGCCTTGATCTTCTCAGCCTCGGCTTTGGCGACGTTGGCTTTGATTTCCTGGGGTAGGGACTCCACCAGCTTCTTTGCCTGCCAGAGAAAGCAAAATCAAAAGGGGGCTCCTGGCTGCCACAACTGAGCTCCCACTGCAAATGCCCAGTACCTGAAAACTGTCAGCACATGCTGTGGGGAGGAGCCCAGGCACAGTGCTCACCTGGACGAGGTTGATGCCCTGGATGTAGTTCTTGATCTCCTTGATCAACTTCACTTTGTCCACAGGGTTTGCCTCTGTCAGGCGCACAGTAAAATGTGTCTGTTCTTTCTGTTTGGGCAGGTCCTCTTCCTCTGCCGCCTTGGGAGCAGGAAAGGGGAACAAGGAGAAAGAACAGCTGAAGCCAACACAATCACTGCTGGGCTGCCCTGCTGTGACGTGCAGCAAGGCCAGGTTCTGTCCCTGGCCCCTGCCCAGCGAAGCCCAGGCTGCCGAGGAGGGTTCCTGGGGTCAGTCCTGGGACCCATCACTGCATGTCTCCCATAAGCACTAGTCAGGGCTCAGACCTGGCTCCTTTGTCTTTTCATCTGCTCAGACCCTTCTTCCGTCAACTCTACTTCTCTCAGCCCCTAAAAACTTATGAGACAGAGGACAGCAATACAAAAGTGCTCTGTAGCTGAAAAAGTTATGGGAAAGCAGTGCTATTCAGTCCTCAGAAAAGTACAAGTGCATGCATGTCACTGATAAACACCCCATCTCTCCTTTTTCTGAGACAGGGGTCCCACTAAGTTGGCAGGTTGGTCAAGAGATCTTTTTGCCTCAGCTTCTCCAGTGCTGGGATTACAGGTATGCACCACTGTGCCCTGCTTCTGATAACCCAGCAAGTGCCAACAAATGACTGCACACAGGGGCTGGGGATTTAGCTTAGCGGCAAAAGCGCCTGCCTGGCAAGTGCAAGGTCGTGAGTTCGGTTCCCGGTACCAGAGAAAAACCAAAAAAAAAAAAAAAAAAAAATGACTGCATATTGAGATCCAGTGCCACCACGAGTAGGTCTGTGTATGTCCCCCAGCCTGGTAGTTTGGACATGGTGCCTGTTTTTTTTTTTTTTTTTTTTTCCTGGTATGTAACCCAGGCTGGTCTTGAACTCATAATTCCCCTGCCTCAGCTTTCCGAGTGGTTGGTATTACAGGTGTGCCCAACCTCCTGCTAGTTATTGGTGGCACCCCATTCATTCACTTTAGACAATGGATCACACAGTGATTCCTACTCTGGTTCCAAGTGTCCAGCTTGAACCTAATTAGCCTTGGTATATGCATGTGTGTGTTTTGAGGTGCTAGGAATGAAACCCAGGGCCTGGATCACTCTAGGCAGGGACCCCCCACTGAGTTACACCCTAGGTTAGTGATGGCAAACCTTTTAGAGCTTTCAACAATAATAAACATGTACTGTGACATGTATGCCATAGGTCTGTCACCACTCCCCTAGTTTATCATCCTTTAAAACAACCTTCTAGCTGGGCATGGTGGCACAAGCCTGTAATTTCAGTATCCAGGAGGCTGAGGCAGGATGATCGCGGTGAGTCTGACGCCAGCCTGGGCTACATTGTGAGTTCAAGGTCATCCTGAACTACACATGAACACCCTGTCCCCCCCCACCCCCCACCCCCGCCTCACAAAAAAAACCAAAACAAAGAAACACCCAGGGGCTGGGGATTTAGCTCAGCAGCACAGGCTTGCCTGGTAAGTGCAAGGTCGTGAGTTCGATTCCTAGTTCCGGAAGAAAAACAAAACAAAACAAAAAAACAACAAAAAAAGAAACACCCAAACCAAAACAAACAACCACCTCCCTTTTTCAGAAGGCAGTGTGAAGATGTTTCCTAGATCCTAGAAACATTACCCATCCCCAGTGCAGAGTATTCCACAGGACTCTGGATTCCTCTGTAGGAAAAGGGGCACGGGAACAGGGACCCAGACAACAGACTTGCCCCTAAACCGAAAACCAAACAACCTGCACCTTCAAGTTGGCTGGGTTTCTTTTAGACCCGTAAACCAGCTCCCAGCCAGCCAGCAGATGCAGCAGCCCACTGCCTCCCCTTCCTGCTTCTGGCCCCATCTAAAGAGAAAGACATGCGGTGGCCTGAGAGCATCTGTGGCTGCCAGCTTCTCGGCTAGGACACCTTACTTCAAGTTCTTCCATGCCACCTCCTTACTGAGGCTTTCCTTGAAACTGTAATCCTCTCTTCAACTTAAAACTTATTTCCTACTTTTCCCATTGTACTTATAACATTCTGTTGGATGCAACTTCCATCCATCTTCAGCTTACTGTCTGCTTCCCTCCACTAGAAACATGTTTTGCATATACCCGGCAAGGAGGAGGTCACTGGGCTGCAGGGAGCCCATAGTGGGAACATGCAGACGTGCAGATGTAGGACTCAGGAAAGGGACAAGAGAAATGGGCCACATCACTGAGTCCAGAGTTGAAGTGGGCACACAGAAACACCCCTTTCTGCCCAGGACCCCCACCGGGGTTACCTCGGGGGCTGCTGCAGCAGGAACGGCACCAGGCATCATGCTACCCATTGACATGAGGCCAACATCCTGGATCTTCAACGTTTTCTGTGGGGAAAGAGAAGTCTCAGTATATGGCTGTCAGACCTCAAATGTACTCATAGAGGGACAAGCCTGGCTCTGTCCTCACACCTGGAAAGTCACGGAAGCGCCCGTGCCTCATGCCCGTCCCTCGTCCGTGCCAGCCTCTCCTCATTACCTTCAGGAGTTCATTGAGGTCTGAGATCTCCAGGAGGGTAAGGCTGGCGATGTCCTGGACCAGCTGTTGGATCTTGGGGGGGTATTCCTTGGGGGCATTATCCAGGGGTGCGCTCGCAAGTGCCTCACCCCTTCGATGGCTGCTGCTCCTCAGCTGCCGCGCAGCACAGACACCTGGCACCTGCTGCCTGGTTCCCCAGAAATAGTTGTCAGCCGTGCAAGACAGAAGTGCGCGCAGGTCCTAGGAGGTCCAAGCGCTCCCGTCTACTACTACCTGGGTGAGAAACTACCTCATCCCTGGAGCTCAGCCAAGGCTTCCAAACGACTTTAAATTCTTCAAAGACCCTCAGGAGCCCAAGAAATTACGTGCAGTAATTCTATACGAAACGGCAGGCAGAGTGAACTCATTAAACCAGTGTGGATTACGAAGTCACACGACTTCCCAAACTGGGGCCCCTCGGTCGCGCTACTGCCTGCACGGATGGGACTCTGGGGCAAGGAACCTGGGGCTTGGTGGGACCCAAGTCCCCAAGGTCGCCAGGGCCGAGCGGCCTTACCCGCGTCTCGCGGGCCGGGCCCAGGAGGGTGGCCGTGCGCCCGCCAGTCCTCCGCTCCGACCTATCCCAGCCCGCTGGCCCATTCTGGCGCCCAGGACCCTGCGGTACCTGACGAGGCAAAGTGCAGCGCCCCGGAGCCCGAGATGCGGGCCCCACAGGCGGCAAGCAGCCGCCGGTAGCATCTCTCCGCGGGAGGGAAGGTCACACGCGGCTCCGGGCCGAAGGGACGCTCTAGCCGCAAGCAGGCGTTCTAGGCGGGCTACTCTAGCCGCGAAGCCTCCAGGCATTCGAGCTGGGGAGGGCCGCTCTATCCGCCAAGGCAGCGGAGCATTCGAGTAGGGAATGGTCGCTCTACCCGCCACCTGCACTTTTTTTCAAATCCCAGAGATTACCCAGAAAGCGGCGCGCCACCCAGGCGGATACGCAGACGGGGTTAGCATTTGCTGGGAGGTGTTTTCGCCGCCCAGTGACCCAGCCGGCTCTCCGTTTCCGGGGTTGAGCTTGTGCTCCGCCAGGCCAAAGTACTCAGCGCCCTAGGTTCAGCCAACAGCTCACGATTTCTAGAAGTCCCTGGCGCGAAGAGGTGAGACTAGACCCTCCCAAGTTCCGGATTGCCGGGCGCGGTGGCTAACCCCAGCTACTCCTCTGGTAGTTGACTCAGGAAGATCCCAAATTATAGCCCAGCCTGTGTCGATTTAGCGAGAGCCAATCTCGAACCATAAAGGGTTGCGGTGGATCGCAGATGCGCTGAGTCAGATCGCATTCTAGACACCCAGAGCTCTGCAGCCCACCGGATTAGTGGGCAGTAGGCTGGGCAGTGCGGGGCCGCCCCAATTATCCACAGGGGCTTGCTCGAAAAGACTGGCTTAGCTGGGGGGAGATCTGGAGAGCTCCGAGAGTGGACAAAACTGCCGGCTATGTCTCGAATGGCGCCACCGAAATTTAGTCCCCATTGTGAGGTACTGAGGTGAAGGTTGAGTGGGTAGGGTCCATTCACGGGATAAAGTCATCCTGAGTGGGCTGCCTGTAAAAAGCCCGTTTCTCTTGGGCACACTCTCGTGCCTTGTGATGCTCTGAACCAGATGGGACCTGGAGTCCCCACCTCTTCAACAGACAAGGGCCCTTGTCCTTGGACCTCCTAATCTCCAGAACTCTTAAATAAATTTTTAGCTGGGCGTGGTGGTGCACACCTGTAATCCCAGCACTCAGGAGGCTGAGGCAGGAGGATCCTTGCAAGGTTTGAGGCCAGCCTGGGCTACAAAGTGAGCTCAAGGTCAGCCTGACCTGCGTAGTGAGACCGTGTCTCAAAAAGACACACACACACACACACACACACACACACAAAAAAAAAAAATTTTCTTGTATTTTCTTATGCCAACAGAAAACAAACCAAGACATTGTCCAACTGTGGGAGGTGCAAGGCTGGGGACAACACACCACACCCTATGGCCCAAAGCTAGGCTGGCTGCCCCTACAAAGACTCGTACACTTTGAAATACATTTTATTATCGCTGTTCTGCACCAGAGAGATGACAGCTGAGAAGCACAGAAGCTAGAGATGGCTGAAACCCACTCTGCTGTGGAGTGACAACCAGGAGGTCCCTGCTGTGGGGCTGGGGCCACACCTAGACACCACAGCCAGCTCCCAGTGGGACAGAGCAGGCTGGGCCTCTTGCAGGTGCCAACACACAGGGCTGGACAGTTCCCTGTGAAGGTCCTTCCCTTCCACCATCCCTCTCCAAGGCCCAGCCCTGGGGACAAGTCACAGACCATGTCAGGACCAAAGCAGGGAGCCAGTGACACGAAGCCAGCAGGCTGAGGACAGGGGAGGAGAGCTGGGACAAGGACTCACTCCTGCCTTCAGAGAGGGGATACTAGGGGAGAAAGGGAGGGAGAGGCTAGTTAGACACAGTTGGGTTTGGGTGACCGGTAGTGTTACTCTGGATAGCATGTTCCTTGCCCAGCATCAGTCAAAGGAGATGAGTTGGGCTTCGCTGCCTTGCACTGCTGCGGGTGGCCCCTGCACCGATGGTTGCTGGGCCACAGGAGCCTGCTGCTGGGGCGGGCCACTAGAGGGCGCCATCTGTGGGGTGAAGTGGACAGGTACCTCAGCATCCCTCTGCTGCACAGTACAGGCTCCAGCATGTCAGCAAGCTCCCATAGCCTGGGCTCTCACGTAAAAGGACCTGTGTTTGTGTCTAGGTCCTTGTTCTGTCTGCTGAGAAAGAGCCTCGAGTATAAATTTGTCTCCTCAAGGGAACTGGCCTGACGGGCCCTCCGGGGGTCAGAGACCCACCCTAACCCATGCTGTCCAAGACTGTCAGTCTGGGCAGGGCTCACCTGCTGGTACACGGGCTGCTGCCCTGCAATGTAGGGCTGCTGGGGTGGTAGAGATGCATCCTGGCCAGGAAGGGTGGTCATGAGATTCTGTGGAGAATGAAAGAAAGCCTGACCCTGAGAGCCTCATGACCTCCAGGACAGCCCTGAGGAAGGCTGTGCTAAGCAGCAGGTTCCTTACCTGCATGCTATATGGCTGGTAGCCCAAGGAAACTGATTGGCTGCCCACATAGCCTATAGTGCCAGACGGTGGAGGCTGGGAGATGGCCGGGAGACTCTGTGGGGCCTGGGAAGCCACGTTCTGTGGAGGGAAGTGGTGATGTGGGGACCAGGCAGGGGCAGGGCCTGGGCAGGAGAGGGGAGGGTGCACTTACCTGGTAGCCTGGAGCTGGGCTGGGCTGGTAGGTTGAGTAGGCGGAGCTAGGGGCGGGCCCAGCCTGGGCCTGTGGGGCTGCCTGTGTCCCCGGAGCCCCTGCTGGGTACATGTAGGCGCTCACCATGCTGGGATCTGCCACAAACAAGAGTCCGTTCAGCCACAGGGTGCGATGTGGGAAGATGCACTTCTCTGAGGTTTACTTTTTTGTGACTTTTAGAACCACATCCATACACATTTCATACTCTCATGAAAGGACAATAAAGTTGGCAAGGATGGGAGGTGGATTGTAAATGGAATGAAGTCAGAACCAATGAACTATTTGAAAGGACTGGTGGTCACACTGAAGGGGCTTGGGATAGCTGACCATAAAGACTCCTGAGCTGCGCCTATACTCCATGATCTCAGGCCAATGTTAAACTCTGGCTGGGGACCTATGTCAAGACTGCAGACCCATGTCAAACTCTGGCTGGGGCCCATCCACAGCAGCTCAGCTTAGCACTCCTGAAGTGACATTCTGCTACGCTAAAAATGAGCAAGTAAGTCCAGGAGTAGGTTACCTGCTGTGGTGCCAGGCATGCTGGGGTAGGGGCCAGTGGCTGGGGCTGGCTGGCTCATGTACACGCTGTGCATAGGAGAGCCCTCCACTGAGCCTGCTGGGCTGAAGGTGCCAGGGAAGTTGGTCGGGCCTGAAGGCTGGTAGAGCACACCCCCAGCTGTAGGCATGGCCTGGAGCTGAGGAAAGAGGAGAGATTAGATGCAGGGACACATACCTGTCATCCCAGCTGCAGGCTCCAGCAAGACAGCAATGAGGCCAGCTTGTGTGACTTAAATTCAGCAAGACCCTGGGTCTCAAAAAACAAAATAAAGCCGGGCATAGTGGCACAAGCCAGTAATCCAGTGTTTGGAAGGCTGAGGAGGCAGGGGGATTGCTGTGAGTTCAAGGCCAGCCAGAACTACAAACCAAAACCGTCTTGAAAACCAAACAAAAGTGGGGGAGGGAGAGCTTGGGATGTAGCTGTAGTGGAACACTCCTGGGTTTGAACACTTCCTACTATCATAAAATAAATAAGAATAAGTAGCAGTGAGACAAGTCCTTGGGGGACAAGGGAGGGAGGGCAGCACATGCCTGCGCATAGGGCAAGGGGAAGGCAGGCATCTGGGCGCGCATCTGGACAGTCTGCTTCTGCTGCTCCAGGCGCATCTGCCTCTCTTTCTCCTGTTCCTGAAGGCGCTGGATGGCCAGTTGCCTCTGCACCTCCAGATACTCCTATGTCAGAGGACAAGGTGTTGGTCAGGCGGGCACCACACAGCCCTTGCAGACAGGTTTAGTGTGCTGGGTTGGCACTGCACCTGCTTCTTCTGCCGCATAATCTCTAGCTTCTGAGCCAGCTGGATCTGGCGCTGGCGCTCGGCCTCCTCCGCTGCTCGGCGCAGCTTCTCCCGGTGCTCTTCTCGCAGGGCACTCAGTGCCCCCCGTGCGTCACGGATCTGTGCCAACTTGTCCTGTAGCCCCTCGTAGTACACTATAGGCACAGAGAAGGGCAGCCTTGGCCACTCTAGTGTGAACAAGCATGGTGGTGGGGGTGGCAGGACTGTGCCTATGTGGTCAGTGGGCCCTGGCAATCACCAAGGCCCAACCCTCTCAGCAGGGGTTGCTGGCCCGAGGGCTGGGGGGGGGGCAGACACTTCTGTGCTTGGCACCTGAGACCACCACCCACTGAGCTCCTCTGGGAACACCTGTGGCTTCAGTCAGGGCCAGGCAAGGGGACCCAGTTCCTTAGGGACAGGTCTTGTGTCCCAGGAACATCCAGGATCAAACACCTAAGGGTGCTCACAGCACCCTACCATCTGCAGGAGCCAGGGCCCCGAGGGCACGTACGCCTACGCTCGTCCAGTTGGTTGAGCAGCTCGAGCAGCTGCGGGTGCATGCTGTTGATGGACTGGAAGAGCGAGAGCACGGCTGAGTCGTTGGTGATGCTACGGCCCCGCATGTGATTGCTCTTCATGCGGTTGACAAACGTGGTGACAGCATTCTGCAGGGCCTTCAGGAACTGCTCGTGGTTTTCCTCCGACTCCCCGTTCTGGTACTGCTGCAGGGACACACAGGGAGTGACCGAACAGCCTCTCCCAGGGCAGTGACCACTATGTCTGCCAGGCCTGAGCAGTCCTCATGCCTACTATTCACAGAGCCTGGAGCAAACCAGTCTAAAGACAAAGAAAGGTGGGCTCTTGTCCATAGACACAGGGACAGCCAGGATGGACCAGGTCAAGAGCTCTCTGCCTTGGCAACACAAGCCTGGTCTGATGGGACAAAGCCCAGAAGTCCCGGAGAGGCGGGATTCATCTGGGTAGGTCTGGGCTGCCTAGGAACGTCTGGATCCAAGCTATATCCACAGAGTGGCTGGGCCACAGACCACAGCCCCATACAGCCAGGGTTTTTTTTTTTTTTTTTTTTTTTTTTGGAAAAGGTTCTCTCTATGCAGTTCAGGCTGGCCTTGAGCTCACTTTGTAGCCCAGGCTGGTCTCAAACTTGCAATGATCCTCCTGCCTCAGCCTCCCAAGTGCTGGGATTACAGGCGTGCGCCACCATGCCCAGTCACACAACCGAGTTTAGTTGTTTTTTTTTTTTTTGGGGGGGGGTTTCCTCCGGTACCGGGAACCGAACTCACGACGTTGCGCTTGCCAGGCAGGCGCTTTGCTGCTGAGCTAAATCCCCAGCCCCAACCAGGTTTAGTTGTGAGGAGCTCCTATGGGCCTAGGCACCCTCACTCCGGCCCCGCCTACCAGTGCTCCCTCAAATCTTGTAGAAAGCTGCAGCCTACCTCACTAAAAGGGGTGCCAGAAGAGGTTATGGGCTGAGTGTCTGTCTCCGGGAGGGGAGCCTGGAAGAGAGTAGAGGGTCAGGGGGCCTCCTGCCCAGCCTGGTTCTGCCCCTAGGGAGCAGGGAATGGAGCACAGAGGGCCTCACCTCCACCACACTGGCAGGGACCACGTGCCCCTCCCCAGGCTGTGCAGCTGCCTCTGTCAGGGGTGCGGGTGCAGATGGTGTGGGGCTCTTTCGTGCTTCCTCCTGCTTTTTCTCCCAGTAGTTCCGGTTGAGGTATCGTGCGAGCTGCACAGCAACATAAGGGGGTCACTCCTGTAGGCCAGGAGGCCAGAGGATAATACCTGCTGTCAGGATCCTTACCTCAGGGTCGATGTCCTCAGCCAGAGGTGCTGACGAGTTCTGCGGAGGCAAGGACGGTCTGAGGGGTCACAGGCCGAGGGGAACAGTTTCACAGTCACAAGCAGCCACTCAGGCAGGGACCACAGTGCACCAAGAACAGTAGACCCCAGGATGGTCAAGGCCACAACCCCTTCCCTCTCAGGCTCCTAGTGAAACGGGCATCTAAGTGTGCTCTTTCCTTCTCTCAAGCAGCATAAGCTTAAGAGCTTAAAGAGGCTGTGAGAGGGCTGCACAGCACTGGGCTCCACGACTATGGAAGGCAGCACATGGCCAGTTTCACAGGGGCTCCTGAGACAACCTGGGTCCTATGAGGAGGACATCTGGCCTGGCCCTCACCCGGCTGTCATGAGGTCCTGCTGCCACCTGAGAAGGAAAGAGGCTCTACTTATCCAGCAGTGGCCAGGCTACTCTACAGCCCTGCAGAGCTCACAAGTGACTTCCTACACCTATGACACATTCTCCCTTCACAGAGGGGGTGAGGCTAGATGAGGGGTATGAAGGGTAGAGGGGGCGTGGGACAGGCAGGCTGTCAGCACAGCCGTCTTCTCAGTATGCTTAGCTCCAATGGGAGCCTTGGAGCAGAACAGCCAGCACCAAGCCAACCTGGCCATGCCAGACAGTGTGCTCACCACAGGGGAAGAGTACAGGCTGCTGGCAGGGGGTGCCGATGATGCCAGGGGCGTGGGCTCCACCTTGGGGTGCGCTGTGTATGTTGACTTCTGTCTCTGAAGCAGAACAGGAAGGAGGTGTCACTCAGGCACCAGGTGGCATAGGAGGGGTGCAGGCTCCACCTAACTCTGGTCCCCCCAGCATCTCCAGCATAACCTGGGGTCCCTCCTTGAGGCCAGTCCCCATTGCTCACCAGCCTCTCCTTCTCTTCGGCCTCTGACTGTGACAGGGCCAGGGCCAGCTGCAACTCCTCCTCCTCCTGCAGAGCCGTCTCATCCCTCTTGGGAGGCAGCTGAGGACGACAGGCAGGGTGAGGAGGGCCCTAGGGGAGAGGCACTCATGGGAGGGTGGGGGCAGGTACCTGGGACTGCTGTGACAGGGGGCTGGTCAAGTATTCCGGGGGCAGGTCAGTAGTGGCAGCGGCCTTCCCTTCCGCTTTCCTGGAGGTAGAGTGGGACACTATAGGTGACCGTGTACTGATGCCAGCCCCCTGTGCTTCTTCCTCACACTGTGCCATCAAGTGATGACGGCGCAGTGCCATAGGCACTTGTAGCCTGATGGCTATATTCCAGGGAACACCCCACAGGGAATGGATGAGTTACAGCCTAAGCCACAGTCCTCCTACAAACACAGCCTCAGAACCTCTGCCTGACCAGCTGAGCACACCTCAACTTCCTAAAGTACCCAGATGCTGCCTGGGATCTTCCCTGGGACCCGAGGTAGGCCTCATCCCCAGAAGGTGCTGGAAAGGGCACAAAAACTATTATGATGCTGAAGCTGGGCTAGGGCTTTTCTAGAGTTCAATCCACATCATGCAGATCTCTAAAGCAAGTGCTGGCTTAGGGCCACATGCTCATGGCATTGTTGAAATTTCAACATAAATGTACTAACACCTCTCATTCAAAATGACCCTTAAGGCTGGGACCCTTGAAGGGGCTCAGCCTCCGGTGTGACTATAGGTAACTCCAGTCAATCACAGAAAGGAAGGAGCTTCCAGAGAGCACACAGCCTCAGTAGAATTGCAAGGTCACAGCCTCACTTTTGGGTTCCCTCCAAAACTGCAGGCCCCGACCCTGAGTACAAGATAACTTCAGACAGACCCAACAGAGGGATGCAGCACCATGGCCTGCACTCCAGTGTCTACAGCACAAAGCACAGAGGCCAGGAAGCCGGGAGGTATGGTGATAAAAAGCAACACGCTGATGATCCTGATGGAACTGACAGGGTCAGGGTAACCACAAAGGGTCTTTCTGCACAATGGCAACACTGGAAACCCACAGTGGGGCAGGCACCCACACCACACCATCAATGTCTGGAGAAACAGACAGTGTGACTGACTCGGAAGACTTGCATGTGGGAGTGTTTTGGCGTAAAAGACCACATGGTCCACAGCTCATTTGCACGTTTAGAATAAAACACAAATGTGTGTGAGCACATGCACACACACCAGTCTGCTGACAGGAGAGGAAGACAATCTAACCAATGTGGCAGAATGCCCACAACTGAGGAACCTGGGCAAAGGATACATGCACCCATGTTAATACTATGCTTGCAATTTTTCTCCAAGTTTTATTGCCAAGAGTTAGTTAAAATCCAGGTGCTGCACGCCTGTAATTCCAGCCCATGGGAAGCTGAGGTAGGAAGATCACTACAAATTTAAGACCAGGTGGGGCTACGTAGTGAGTTCAAGGCCAGCCTGAACTACATAATGAGATCCTGTATCAAAATACTACCCACCTAAATCCAAATAAACCAAAATCAAGTATTAGTGACTGGTCTGCAGGGGTAACCTCATATTGTTCTCAGACTATAGTACCCAGCCAGCCTCCTGCCCAGGGGTTTGGGATGACCAAGGGGGTACAGCTGCTCCGGGCTTGCTCTCAACCCTGCCTCTGCTGGTCAGCAGCCCATAAGCCTTGCCAGGTCTACAGTCCCAAGGTGTATGGCCAGACAGGAAAGGGCCCCATTGAGCCTACGGGGACTCACTTGTTCAGCTGCTCATAGCAGGGTTCGCAAACGCGCACCTCTTTCTCAATGCCAAACTTGGGGATGGTGGAATATTTGGAGGAGCACTTGCCACAGAAGATCTGCCCGCAAGCCCGGCAGTGGTGCTGAAAGAGGGGCAGGACAGGCCTGGTTATAGGGCCCTAATGGGCCCACAAGCCACAGAGAAGACCCCTCAACCCTCTAAGCTGGGCACTCACCTTGCGGGTCACCACCCCAAACTGCACTCTGCACCGGTGGCATTCCTCAGCATCAACCCAGTCGGGGGCCTAAGAGAGCAGCAGAGTCAGGACCACACAGCCCCAGGACTTTCCTCCTTGCTTCCTCAGAACAGCCAGACCCAAGCACCCCTCATTGGTAGCCCCTTGAGACTTACTCTTTCTGCGGCAAACATAGCATCACTCTCCTTGAATTCCGGGAAGACATGTCCTGGAGAGAGGAGACTCTGGTTACTGCTGGCTCCCACCCTGGTCAGCTGCTTCCTACCTACTGACATCTGCCTCCCCAGCCAGAACTATGCACAGTCTGCTGAGCCCCAAACCCCAGAAAATAGCTCCAAAGACATTGTTAACCCACTCTCCCTCTCTCTGCAAACCCATCAGCTCTCTTGGATCACCATGACGACCAGAGGAATACAAGAGGCCAAGAAAGTGCACCTCAGCAACCAGAGCCTGGCCTAAAACCCACCAATGACTTCCCGCCACACACACCTACATCAAACCCTGATGTAGCTCTCCTGTGGCATATGCTACCTTCAGGTTCCAGGGACCTTTAGGAACCTTTAGGTTCCTCTGAACCCCCAAAAGTCCTCTGCGGAGGACATCAGGGTCTAAATGGTTCCCGCCTGTGTTCAAATCTTGGCACCCAGGACACCTCCTTATGAGGCCTACCTTGACTACTCATCCTGCACTGCTTGCCCCAAGACCATGTCACTCTGACTGTGCTTGTCTGTGAACTTTAGACCATATACTGTCTGCTGTCACTTCCCACCCCCACCCCATGGGGTGGAATGTCTAGAAAGCAGAAGCTTGTCCACACTTGTCTTTCCTCTGGGCTTCCCAGAACATCAGCCTCCCAGTGGGCTGTCACTTCAAGTCCCTCAGTGAGGTCCGGCCTGACCTCCCTGCCCCGCATCACTAACTTGCTGGCAGGATGGCCCCATGTTCCCCTCCTCCCTGCCCCGACCAGAGCTTGTCCCCTGCCCCTACTCACCCTCCACCTTCATGATCTGATAGGTGTCCTGGACCACCTTGTACTTGGGCTCGTTCCTGAAGGCATGTGCCCAGGCCTGGATCAGGTATAGGATCTTGTTTCGGACATTCACTTCCACCTGCCTCTGCAGAGCAGGGAGAAGGTGGGAAGGGCCACAGGAAACTTGAGGTGTCAGAGATCTCTGTGTGATAAGGGGGCTGCCACAGAGGCCCAGAAGGGTCCCTGGGTGGAATTTGGGGGCCAGGAACTCACTTGTCCCCAGGCCCCGAGTGAACCCCCATGCATCTACACTCACAGTCAGGGCTATGGCTCTTCTAAGCCTATGACTATATGTCTCTTTCCCCCTTTCCCCATAGGACCCTGAGGAATCATGGATTCCCACAGGTCCACAACTGTCCCTCTCCCCCTGGCTCTGGTCAGCCACTAACAGATAGGCCCAGCCATAAAGTATCACTTCAGGGCTGAGGACACAGTGGCAGTGGAGCCGGCACAGCCTGGAAAGAGCTTCACACACAGAAGGGCACCATTTCCACGAGGTTCAGCCCAGCCCCAAATCTGTGCTCCCCCAGGAGGCCACGCTAGGATGGGACAAAAGCTGCTTCAAGGAAACAAGAGTGTGAGCTACCCTCTGCAACCTGGTCATCAGGGGCCCCTCCCTGTACAACCTGTCTCCATCAGTGGCAATTGATCTAGAGGACCTGCAGCAGGAGGAGAACACAGTGCTCCTCCATCCAAGGACTAACCAGGCCCAACCCTGCTTAGCTTTGGAGCTCAGAAGAGATGCGGCATATTTGGGGTAGTATAGCTGTAGACCACAGCACTCCTCTACCAAGGATGGAACAAGAAACTGACCAATGTCCCAGTGTGGGCCTCTGAGGAGCTCAGATGTCGGCTTGGATCCTGAGATAAATGGGCTCTAGGCACAGTGAATCTACTATGAGACCATGGTCCAGCCCTGGGTCCCAGCAGATAGGAAAATGCTTCACCTTGATGGAACATCTCCACCTCAAGCAAGGACCACACTACCCCTGCTAGGCATCACTGGCCACATCACAATCCTTGCCGGTGGCTCTGGGATAGTTTCCCAGGTATCTAGAGGACTTTTCCTCTTTCAAGGAAAGAGGGCATGAAACTTACTCTCCCTGAGTCTCTGCCCACCAGGAATACCCACTGCCCTTCAAGATTCAACTCCAAGCCCTGCCTTCTGGAACTCTTTGCCAGTCCCTCAAGAAGAGCAGGTATCTTTCCCTGGGCTCCAGGTGCAGCACCTGAGACACTTCTGTTAAAGCCCAACCTTGCTGGACTGGGCCCCAAGGCTCTGTCTCTCCCTGGACCTGAGCATGGCCAGCACAGGGAGCACTCATATTCCCTTCACAGCCACTGCTATGCCCAGTGCTGTTTGTGTCATAAGACCCCATTAAACACTTGGAAAAGCGGTGATGACTACACCTTCCCCCCACCATCCCATGACTCTGGAGGGCACCTACCTTCAGCAGCTCCTTCAGCTCCTCCATAGTTTGCTTGTTGGCCACCTCATCGTGGACTGTCTGGCCACAGTTCTTCACCACAGACTCCATGACCTGAGGACCCCAAGGAAGAGGAGAAATGGGACAATTGTCAGGGCAGTCCCCCCCACCCACCCCAGTGAGAAGGCACGCCTCCAGCAGGCTTCTCAGGCTAGCCAGCATGTCAGGAATCCCAAGTAGCAGCTTCAGAGACAGGCAGCAACCAACATACCATGTCCCCTCTAACACACATCTTGCTGCCAAAAGCAGCAGTGAGACTGCTCCTCAGAGCTTTACTACACTCAGTGAAGCAGCACCATCATTCCCTCCCCTACCACCTGCAGGGTGACCAAGCTCAGCGGCATGGTTAACAACTGCACTCAAGGCTAGAAGGAACTCCACTGGTTGCTATGTACCCAGGAAGGTGGGAAGGCTATATGACTATTGGGGTCAGAGACTTTTGGAGCTGGAGCCCAGAAAACATGCATAGGGGTCTAGTTACCTCCAGGGCATACAAGGCCACATGTGGATTCTTGTCATTGACTTTCTTCTTGATGGAATTTACAGCATATTTTGCTCTGAAAGAAGAAAAACATGGGCAACAGCAGAGAAAGAAAAATAATCCTAGCAAATAAGATGAGAAACTCTGCCTACCATCTTGGTCCTTTTGACCCTCTTAAGCAAATATTAACACAATCAGGTGTCTCCAGGCAGCACAGATAAAACACCCTACATGTTCCAAGAGCTTGTCATTCCCAGCATGTAGATCATCCGATTGCCCACATGAGGGCCTCACTGGTCAGCGAAGGCTTAGAAACTGGTGGTGGGTACCAAGTGACCCCAGCACTGGGCAAGGCTGTCCCTGCGTTTGTAGTACAAGTCCTCCTCACTTACTGTGTGTCTCCTTGTCGGATCAGGTCGCAGATCTGCAGGATGGACTCCCAGTCTGTTTCCAGCAGAAGCTGGCTAGTGGCTTTGTCTGCAGAAAGATATGACATTCAGGGGCTTGTTCTGCTGTGATTCCCTGGGTTGCCCTCGCCTCAAACCACATGAAAATCCTCCAGATGCACACTGACTGCTGTGGGAGTGCCATTCTTCCCAGACAAGCAGCAAATGGAGTGAAAACCATAGAAAACATCAGTTGCATGCTTGTTAAACATCAGGTGCCATTCTGAAGACTGTGAATTAACTTCATCAATTCCCATACAACCTCATGAGCTAGGTACTATCTTTATCTGCTCTGCAGGCTGGATGTGGTGGTGCACACCTGTAATCCCAGCACTTGGGAGGCTGAGGTAGGAGGACTGCTTTGAGTTAAGAGGCCAGCCTGAGCTACAAAGTGAGTTCAAGGCCAGCCTGAACTGCATAGCAAAATCTTGTCTCAAAAAGACACACACAGGGGCTGGGGATTTAGCTCAGCGGCACAATGCCTGCCTGGCAAGTGCCAGGTCATGAGTTCAATTCCCGGTACCGGAAAAAAAACCAAAAACAAACAAATAGAAAGACACACACACAAAAATACCCCAAACAAGCAGAGATGAGGTGACTGCCATAAGTCACAGCTTGCCAAACACAGAGCCAGGATTCACACTGAAACACCAGGCTCCACCACTTTTTAACTGTTACCTGCCTTCTCCTAATCTTTACTTTCAGATTCTTTGCCCTTTCATTAGGAAAGCTTTGGAAAAGTGACTAATAGAGTCCAGTCCTCTACAGGTTCGTTGTGTGGGGGAAGCACAACTGATCTCCAAGAATTCCCCACTAATACATCTTGTATTCATGTCCCTGTTACCTCCATCACTTGTCCTCAAACACACAAACGATCTAATAACCCATGTCCACCTTTGATACTGACTCCAAGAGTCTGGATTCATTCTTAAAGTGCTGAACCACTTCATAAGGCTGAGATACTCAGCTTATATGTCCCAAGAAGGTGTGCCTCTCCTCAAAGACTATACTTCAGGAAGGGATACCAGGGCAGACCATAACAACACCACCTAGATCCTGTCCCCAGACACAGCACATTGTCACAAAGGGGATGGACTCCGACGTTCTCAAATTTGCAGTCTTCTGGAAGCTCAGACAGAATCTCCCAGCTTCTCCAACAGAGGAAAGGCCTTCCCAAATATTTGGGCACTTCCAGAGTCAGGGAACATATGGGGCTAGCCTGGGACCCAGGAAGCAGTCTCCAAGGGGCTCAAAAGATCCAGGGAAGATACTATCGATTCTGCCCATCGACCAATATTCAGTTAGAGGCCCGTGTGAGGTTCAAATCTGAGTCACCCACTTCGTGACTCAGGATTTGGGCCCAGCTGGTCTGGTGGTGTCGGAAAAGGAAGAAGCCAGCTCCCGCGCCGACCCTCGCACTGCCGCGCTCGCTGGCACCCAGGAAACGCGGCACCAGGCCAAGCCAGACCGGCCACACCCGAGGCCCGTGGTCGGCGCCGCACGCCCCGGAGGCCCGTAGCACAGGAGCTGTGTATAGGCCAGACTGTTCCCCGCGTGTCCGGGGTCAGCGCCGGGAGGGTAAGCGAGCCGATAGACTGCTGGCCTTGCGCGGGCGCGTTACCTAGGAGACGCTCGAAGGTGCCGCTGCCTCGCCCCATGGTGACCCCAGGCCGGACAGACGCCGAGAGCGTTCCCTCACTCCGAGCTGGCGCGCCCCCCGACTTCCGCTTCCGCCTTCCGCAGGCGGCTCACGCATGCGCACACCGCCGCGTTTCTGCAGAGCCGCGAGGAAGAAGTCTTCCGCTAGCCGGCTGATGCTGGGTGCTGATTGGGCGGCGCCCGGGGAGGCTACGAGTCCAGCGAAACAATGAGCAGTACGAAGGGCAGGTCTCGCCAATAACAGCGGGGTGAAGACGGGCCTTGATTGCCGGGACACCGAGCTACTGGGGGGCCAGTGGGGCGGGGACTGGAATGTGTCTTCTGCTGGGGGCCCCAGGTGTCGGCAAGACACTGCTGGTGAAACGCTTGCAGAATATCCTTCCGCGTCGTGCAGCGTGCGCGGGAACCCGGGGCTGGGAGGGGACTACTCGGGGTTTCCCGGCGCGAGAACTCAGTCGTGTGCCTCGCTTAGGTCCTTGACCGCGTGTACGGCTTTGCTCTCGGGATGGCAGGGGCGACCTGGGGGACCCTCCGCCTACGCGACCCACGGTAGGTTTCCATCCCTTGCGGGTCGAAGAAGGGCCACCTTTTCGGCTTGCAAAACGCCTCAGGCTCCTCGGAGGGGAAGCCAAGGTGCCCGGTGATCTGGACAGCCTCGGGGAGCAGGGAGCGGAATCTCCGAGACCTGGTCCTGCCACTCGACCAAGCGGAGGCTGGCGGGGCACCCGGGTCGTCCTCCCGCGGGC